GCTGCTGCTCCCAGTGCCCCCAGGGCTGCTGCTCCCAGTGCCCCCAGCACTGCCCAGTCCAGCACCCCAAAACCACCCCCCAAACACCCCCCAGGGGTTGTTTTTACCGTAACAGCCTGAGCTCAGCCAGCAGGGTCGGGTTCTGCTGGGCCTTCTCGGGGGTGGGCTGAGAGGCCTGTTCGTGTTCCAGCCTGAGCCGCTGGATCTCCTGGAGGATCTCCCTGTGGGAACGACAGAGGGGAGGTGAAAGGAGGGGAGAGTCACTCTCTGCACTGCTCCCAGGCAGCTTTCACAGCCCTTGGAGCACTTTCTGCCAGTCCCAGCCCAGGCACAGCAGTTCTGTTCATGTGTGGCTGGCACAGACCCACACCAGGACGGGTAAGTTGGTGCAGACGTAGGAACTGCTGCAAAACACAGAAAATTTATTGCTTAATAAGTGTGAAATCACTCATTGCAATGCCTTTCCAAACCCTTTCACACTCAGAGACTGTTCCAAGAGGACAAAAGTTCCATCTTCAGCACAACCAGCCCGGCAGGTACTGCAGGAAGGGCCCTGGGGCAGGACCTGCCAGCTCTGCTCAGCTCCCTCTCCCCTTCCCAAGGACTCTGGGCAGGGCAGCAGGAACGAGGATAACAGCTCATTGGAACAGAGGCAAACCCTCCAGTGTCCTCAAGGGAAGGGGACCTGCCCAGCCAGAGGGGAGGGAAGGTCACAGCCATGGCCAAGGGCCCCTCACTGCAGTGGGAATGAAACCCCTCTGGAGTGGAGACTGTTGTCAGCTCTCTGTGGAACTGCTGAGCTGCCCTTCTGGCAGGGCTTCACACCAGCACTGATTGAGATCTCCCTTATCTGGGATCTCCAGGAGTAATTTCAAATACCTGCAAGGTCTCTTGGTGGAGCACTGGAGCCATGGCACTGCCAGGACTGAGCTGCTCCTGCTCTCCAGGAACTGATTCTCCTCCAAACCCCCCCTGAGCAGTGTTTTACCCCAGAGTGCTGAGGGTGCCCTGGCACAGGGCTGTGCAGGCAGCTGGATCACAGCTGGCACAGCAGAACACAGGGAGACCTGAGCACAGGCACAAGGACAGCCTGGAGAGGCTCCACAGGTGACCCTCTGGAGCAAGAAGGATCCCATGGTTTGGGTTGGAAGGGACCTTAAAGCTCATCCCATTCCTCCCCCTGCCATGGGCAGGGACACCTCCCACCAGCCCAGGTCGCTCCAAGCCCTGTCCAACCTGGTCTTGGACACTTCCAGGGATCCAGGGGCAGCCACAGCTTCTCTGGGCAACCTCCTCACCACTCTCCCAGCCAGGAATCCCTTCCCAATGTCCCATCTCTCCCTGCCCTCTGGCAGTGGGAAGCCATTCCCTGTGTCCTGTCCCTCCATCCCTTGTCCCCAGTCCCTCTCCAGCTCTCCTGAAGCCCCTTTAGGCTCTGGAAGGGGCTCCAAGGTCTCCCTGGATCCTTCCCTTCCCCAGCTGAGCCCCTCCAGCTCTCCCAGCCTGGCTCCAGAGCAGAGGGGCTCCAGCCCTGGCAGCATCTCCGCGGCCTCCTCTGGACTCTCTGCAGCAGCTCCACGTCCTTGTGCTGCTGTTGCCCAGGGCTGGAGGCAGCTCTGCAGGGGGGTCTCAGCTGAGGGGGCAGAGGGGTAGATCCCCCCTGCCCTGCTGCCCACCATCCCTGGGGGATCAGCCCAGGGCACGGGGGGTTCTGGGCTCAGAGCCCCCACCCTGAGCTGTTCTGGGTCTGCAGACAAGAGAGAAACGGGCTCTGGGTGCTCAGTGCTGGTCAGGATGATTTTAAGAAGATTAGTGGAGAGGATCAACCCACTTCCTGGGGAACAGGGGCAGGGCAGCCCCTCCACAATGCTAATTAACTAACGTTAATGACTAACTAATCAGTTAACGAGGCAGCTCCGCCTTTAACAAGAGATCCGGGTAAACAACCTGGTTAATGTCACACAGAGGCTTCCAAACAACAGAGCACGGGGATGTTTCCCAAAACAGAGCAGATGAGAGCTGGTTTTTACCTGTTCTTGTTCTCCAGCTCCGCTATCAGCTGCCGCTGCTGCTTGTTGGCATCGAAGCTGAATCCCAGGTCCGAGGGCGGGCGGGGCTGGGGGAGAACACGGAGGGTCACACCGAGCACTCCCTGCCTCAGAGGGGCTGGGGCAGGGTCTGGATCCAGCCCCAGAATTCCCAGACTGTCCCAGCCCTGGGACACAGCGAGGGGGGCTGGTGGTGACCCGGCCTGAGCCCAGGGTGGGGCTGCTCCTGCTGCAAATCCTGGAACAGGATTTGCCATATTTTTTAGGTCTTGTTTAGAAAAGAAGCCCCCACACCTACCAGTGCCTACAGCACCCAGAGGATCTTCCCGGGAACAAACCCAGTTATTCCTTTTCTCCTGAAGTGCCCTGGTGAAACACTGACCCTGCCACGTGTCAGTCAGTGAAGAGGAGCTGGAGTGACCCCGTCCAGGACAGTCTGGAATGACCAACAGCTCAGTCTGGGACCCAGAGCCCTGCTGGACACCCCCCCATGCTGACAACAGGCACGTTCTGCATCCCCAGGCTCAGCTCTCAGAGCTCCATCAGTGCTCAGAAACAGCTCCACAGGGAGGTCTTCCCACAGCTGATCCTGACTCCTTGTGCTCTCCAGAGGTCCCAGCTCTCCCCTTTCCCAATCCATCCCCTTGCACTGACTCTGGGGTCAAATGAAGCCTCTCAGTGCATTCAGCTGCTGCAATTCCATGTTAAACAAACCTGAACCCAGATCCCCATCTCATGCCATGTTAGGTGGGACCCCCAGACTGTCCACACTGCCCTTGGCACCCCTTGGCGCCAGGAAACACCATCCATGGGAAGGAACAATATTCACAGGCATTAAATTTAAACAGGTATTGAATTTAAACATGGCCATTGCCTCTGGAAACATGGAAAGTTTACCATCACTGCCCTGTCCCTGGAAGTTGTTCCAGGCCAGGCTGGACAGGGCTTGGAGCAACCTGGGACAGTGGAAGGTGTCCCTGCCTGTGGCAGGGGGTGGGATGAGGTAAAGTCTGAGGTAACACCATTGTGGGCTTCACGCACCAGCCTGCACGTTTTCAGTGAGTGAACTCCTCTGGAACACATGGAATCATGTTGGAAAAATCCAGTCCCACCTTTCTCCCAGCACTGCCCAGGCCTCCCCTGACCCACATCCCCAGGGGCCACATCCCCAGGGCTTTAAAATCCCTGCAGGGATGGGAACTCCCCCTGCCTGGGGGCTGCACTAACTGCAGTCCCTGCTCTCATTTCTGCCCAGCCTTTTATGAACACCAGATTCTCACTGTCACCACCCTGGAACAGTCTGGGGGGGGGGGGGGGGGGGATTGTGAGGGCAAATTCCATCCTCCTCGTAAACCCGGGGACAGAATCCATTCCCACATCTGCACGTGGCTGTTTATCCTGAGGGGAGGGACCTGCCCTCCCTGGGAAAGTCGTGTGTGGTTTTTAAAACCTCTGCCCTCAGAAGAAATAAATCCAACCCAACCCCTTCATTTCCTAGTCAGCACTGCTGTGTCTGCTCTCCATCTCCCCAGGCAGGTCTGAATGACTCGTGTCTGCCAAGATTTATGGCTGTAATTCCATGCTTTAAAAGCCCACAGGTTGAGCTCCTGCCTGCTCAGCAGCTCTGAGCTCCAGGGAATATCCCTTTGCTGCTCCACTCTTACCAGGGCTTTTTACTACAGAGTGCAAAGACCTGCTGGGAGCCAACAGTGTAAGTCAAAACTACTGAAAAAAACCAAAACCAAACCCAACAACTCAACTTCTGCTGAGGCCTCAACAGCTCTGAGATCATCCAAGTGGCAAGGGCCCATTTTCCCTCACCAAGAAAATCCATAGGATGGTCGTAAAATCTACTCAGAACCCTTCCCATCACACAGGACCAGGGAAACCTGTGTTGCACTGTAATTTTAGTTTCCCTGTGAACTGGTCATTAATCCAGGGAGTGAGTGAGCCACCCTGGAACTGCAGGTCAGGAATCAAAGAGGATCTCCAGCTGGAAGGGATCCATAAGGATCATCCAACTCCCTGCTGGAGTGGTATTTGCTGACAGGAGCATTCAGACCTCACCTACAAGATCCCTGTTTGGGGGGAGAGAAGGAGGTGTTTAATCAAGCCCCCAGAGCCAGGTTGGCAGCCACTGTGCTTCCCATCACCACCATTTGGAAGAAACTGTGAAAGAACAGCAAAGTTTGAGTCTCCTGAGCATCAGATCCCAGGTTCCTTGGTGCAAGGACCTCACAGTGTCATGGAAAGTCTGTTCCAGCACATCAGCTGCCCAGCACTGTGGTGCCACAGGGTTCTTGGTGACCAACAGGCAAAGGAGAGGAACCAAATGACAGAAATGGCTCATTTAGCTGGTTTATCAAGGAGAAGAAGAAATGATCCAAGAATCAAGCTGCAGATTTATCTGACAGGAAAAAAACCGGTTTACTCATCCTTTTATTTAAAAATGATGCATCAAACAATGCCCAACACCTGAAAGAGAAGTTCTACGAAGGGAATATTCTGTTATTTAGGCTGTGGGCAGCTTTCAGGAGATGAGATGATCACAGGCTTTTAGCAGTGCCTGATGCTGAGGGAAGAGCAAACCACGGAGTTTTCAAAAAAAGAGCAACGTGGGCAAGAACAACCTAATTATCGTAACTCATCCACATAACTCAACCTAATTACCCACTCAGCCAGAACTGAGTGTTGGCTTGTGTTTGTGAGGTGCCAGTGCCTGCCCCCACAGCGGGGCTGCACAGCCCAGCACAGGGGGCCCTGAGCTCTGGGGTGGGTCACTGCCCACCCAACCTGTGCCCCACAAACCAACCTGCCCAGGGCAACGGGGAGAAACCCTGGAGAACAGCAGGAAATGGGGAGAAACAAGAGCTGAGGTGGAGCAGCTGGGAGAAGGGATGGAGGAGGTTGTGGAGGATACTGGTGACAGAGGCCCTGGGGTTGCTTCACAAAAACAGCTGTATATACAGATATATATATATATACATATATTCACCCAAAACACAGGTGATCCTTCCTCCTCTGGGGGTGCAGCCACCTCACCTGCAGGATTACCTGTATTCAAGGGGTCAGGCAGCACTGAGGTGGGACCTGCCATGGATGTGGATGTGGATTTTGTAGGGGAAGGCAGTCAGAGGGGCTGGGGATGCAGGAGATCTGCTCCCGTCCCCGATTTCACCACCAAGATGATGCTGGGCAGGAAATAGCAGGTTATTCCTCACCTGGGGCTGACAGTGTGGGCAGAGCAGCAGAGGGAGACAAAGGGATGAAGCTGTGATCCTGAAAGCTGTGATTTAATGGAAGTTTGGACTGTTCTCTGCTGATCCCCTCACTCCATCCATCTCCTCACCTCCCGCCTCTCCTGCTCTGCTCTCAGTGGAGCTGTTTGGGGTCACGGCTCTGCCAGGAGCAGATGGGCAGGGCCAGCCCTGCCCTGAGCACTCAGATTCAATAAAAGGGATGTTTTGTCTGCAGAGTGGCTTGAGGGGAACAAGAGCAGCTCAGTCAGAGCTCTGTGAGTGGACACAGACCCCCCTGCCATGCCCTGTTCGTGTGGCACAGCTGCCCCTGGCACTGAGGCTTCCTCCTCTCCCTCTCCTTCCTCCTCCCCACCTACTGCCCCTCTTCAACAACAAACAGACTTGGATTTCAAGAATTAACCCTCAGATCTGCCTCAAATTATTTTGTCCCAGTCAGACGTTGAGCAAAGGCTTTTCCCCCAAACACGTTAACAGGTGTGTTTGCACTCGTGTGGTGAGTGATGTTCATCCCAGAACAGCCCTGCAGAGACACCTCCAACCCTGGAGAAACAGCAGAAAGGGATGGGCTGGGTCAGACCCACGGCCACACTGCCTGGTGGATGATTCCCAGTGACCACACTGTCCCATGGATGATTCCCAGTGTCCACACTGTCCCATAGACAATTCCCAGTGACCACCCTGCCTGGTGAACAATTCCCAGTGACCACACTGTCCCATGGATGATTCCCAGTGACCACACTGTCCCATAGACGATTCCCAGTGACCACTCAGATGACTTCAAAGGAAGGAGTCAGAATCTTTGCACGAGGGCTGCTGGAGCATGAACATCCTGTCCCTGGGACCCTCTGCATTTCCCTCAGTTAGAGTATGTCAGCAAACAAAGCACATCCCATCTGCCAGGCAGGGCTGGGGAGGACAGCAGGACATAATTCTATTCACATCAGCCTCTCTCAGGTGTTCCCAGCAGATACTGCCCTACCTCACTTTCAGAGTCTCCACTGACAAATATTCCATAAATCCCTTATGGTGCCTTTTTTTTTTTTTCCCTCCATTTTTCACTTCCATTAAGGTCCAGATTCTCAGTAAAATCCAGGTGGGAAGGAAGCTCTGGAGGTTTCCATCCACGTCCATTCACAGCAGGTCGCTCAAGTCCTTCTCTCTGAGCTCTGAACATCTCCAGAGAGGGAGCTCCCAGTTCTCCTCTGGCCAACCTCTTGGACAACAACATTTGACCATTATCGTGGTGACAAAAGATTTTCTAAACATACAGCTGGAATTCCCTTCCTTGCAGCCTCTGTTGCCTGCTGTCCCTTCCCTGAGGGCTCTGTGCTGGGGTGACCTTGGCTGTGTGAGGGGCTGGCCCTGATGACAGGGCCGTGTCTGGCTCTTCAAGGAGGCTTCAGGCAGCACCAGGACCCTCCTTTGCTTTCTGTTGTCCATCTCCAAAGCTGGCTCAGCCTCACCCCTGTGTGGTGTGACCAGGACCAGCCCTGGGCTCTGCTCAACCTCGTTGGAGTTTTCCTCCAGCCTGGCAAGGTCTCTCCATCACTGCCAGGCAGCTCCAGTGACATCCCAAGTTATGTGTTACCTGTTTTCCAAAGAAGCTTGGGATGGTTTGGGTGGGAAAGGACCTTAAAGTTCATCCAGTCCCACCCCTGCCATGGGCAGGGACACCTCCCACCAGCCCAGGGTGCTCCAAGCCCCATCCAACCTGGCCTTGGACACTTCCAGGGATCCAGGGGCAGCCACAGCTTCTCTGGGCAACCTGTGCCAGGGCCTCCCCACCCTCCCAGCCAGGAATTCTTTCCCAATACCCAATACTCAACGAGCATCTTTCTCCTACTGGATTTCCACCATGTTTATTCCAGTGGGGTTTTCATCTGACCTTCCTCATTTTAATTCCACGTGGAAAGAAAAAATTGCTCTTTTTTTTTTTGGTTTTGGATTTCCCAGCCTCTCCTTCACTCCTGTCTCTCTCTCTGTGTTAATGCTGCAAGAAGAATATTGAAAAAAACCCCATGATTTTGGCTCAAACATCTCCAGCATCTCAGCTGTTTCATCTTCCAAGAGCAGGGAATGCCCTGCAGACACACAGACGTGTCCCTGTGGACGTGGCACGTTGTCCCCACGGACACGGACACGTCCCACTGTCCCAGGGCTCAGGGGGATGTTCCCCCACCAAGCTGCAGTGGCCAACTTGGACAAGGAAGGAGGGTTTTCCTTTGGTGAGGAGCTGCCACGAAGCAAAGCCCTTTCAACTTGGATTCCTTCAGAATATAAAAAAAAAAAAATCCATCCATTGCAGCTGATTGGCATTCCTGGACTGGGAATAAACAGTGGAGCCAGTAAATAACTTCAGATTCCTCGTGGCCAAGCTCTGGTTGCAATGGAAACACACTGTTGTTGCTCTTTCATCCTTTCCCTGTCCCACGTCAGTCCCTGGCACTGCTCTGACATCTGCCCTTCCATGGGACTCACGGGGGTGAAAAGAAAGCAGGGATTTGTCACAGGACTCTGAAAAGCCTCAGCAAACCCAAAATGCTGCTCTGCACACCCAAATCATTAATTCAGGTTTTGACCCCTTCCAGAACTAAAATGGACACCGGAGCAGGCTGAGGTGATTCACAGGTTTTTAAACCACCAGGTTCTTTCAGAACCAGTTGGTGACTCCTTGGTTTTCGTAACACTTTGTTTCCACCAGAAAAAGTCAAGTCATGAGTAAGAACTGTTCCACCACCTTCCAGCGTGACAGTGATTCAGCACTTACTGTCTCATTAAACAACTTGAATTTTACATGGCTACACGGAAATTTCCTCCTTTTTCCATCCAAACCTGAAACTTGGCACTTTATCACTTTAATATTTTAACATGACCACGGTCCTGCTGAACAGAATGAAATGGGGATATGCAACCCCACCCTTTGACAGAGGTGTTGGGAACTGACACTTAAAAATGTTCAAAAAGCACAATTCTGTTTTTATTAAAGTTTTATAGAAATGTCTGCTCACATCCCTCTGCCAAAGGTGGGTTATGAGCTGAACACACACCGAAGGAAGCTCAGGAATGCGGGAGATGGCTCCTGCAAACTCTGCTCTCTCCTTCCCTAGGGATAAATAACCTCCCTGTCCAGGTAGCCTGAAAATATTCCATGGAATTTCAGTAAATTCTTATTGTTGTCCTGTAGCAATTTTTCTGTCAGATCAGGATTTATTTTTACCCATTTACAACGCGTTGGGTGTTTCCCTTTCCCACGAGAAGAAAGTGCGGACGCAGAAACCACCTTCCTTTGTCTCCCAGGCCCCTTCCCTCTGGAATAAACACATCCCACTAACGTTGATTTGTTTTCCTCAGCTCTCCACGCATTTATCTCCTCTCTGGGCTAAGCAGGACTAATCTGCTTATTCCCTCAGCTCCCCTGACCTCGTTCGGGATCATCCGCGCTCCCGTCCCCCATTCCCGTTTCCCCGCTCCCAGATCCCTGCTGGAACAGGGAACTGTGCTGCTGGACAAACCAACCCCGACTGTTTGGTGCAGGGGTGGGAATCCAGCTCCCCATCCTGCCCACCCCATCCTCCCAGAGCCCCTCCCCTGCTCCCCGGGGTCACTTACGGCGCTGGCGGCCTCGGCGGCGAGTCGCGCGGCGTACCTGGCGATCAGCCGGTGCTCCTCGTCCAGCCGGCCCGGGCTGTCCAGGACACTGCCAAGGACCAACAGAGCCGTCAGTGCCTCGCTGGGGCAGGGAGGGAAGGACAGAGTGTCAGTGCAAAGAGCCAGAGACACCAAAGGGAGAGACAGTCCCACTGGAAACGAGCTCCGTGATTCCCTTTTCCGTCCCAATGCTCCCCGGGCTTCCCGCTGAGCAGAGTGTGCTCCAGGACTCACGGAGTCCAGTTTGGGATGTGTTAAAAGGACTCAGTCTAGGCACAGATTTGTTTCTGGGGAGCTTGTCTGCAGACCCTTTTGGTTACTCAAGGTGGACAGGGGCCAGCAGCCCGGCGATGGAGGAGGAAAGCCTTCTCCTCCAGGGATGGAGGATCATCCGTGTCCAAGCCAGGATGGTTTCCATGAGGAAGAGTGGGGAGGACTGTGCTGACCTGAGAAGGACCTTCTGGCACTGAACAGCATCGACCTAAATGCAAACAGCACTTTGCAAGTCAGCCTGACTTACACCTGACTTACACCTGACTTACACACACCTTACAACACCCCTTTACAAAGGGGGGCAGTTTAAGATCTGGTCCTTCACAGCTCAGCTCCAGAGGGTGACACAGCTCCAGCTGGCTCCTACTGCCAGGTTGGACGGGGCTTGGAGCAACCTGGGCTAGTGGAAGGTGTCCCTGCCCATGGCAGGGGGTGGGACTGGACGTGCTTGAAGGTCCCTTCCCACCCAAACCAGTCCAGGATTCCATGGATGCCTCACAGGCTGCAGCTGCCTGGGAAATGCTGCTGAAATAGGTGTTAGGAGCCATTTCCAACAGTCCTCAGCAGAGTGACAGCACCCTGAGGTGACAGAGGAAGGGACAGGGAGGTTTGAGACAGGGAAAAAAGCAGAGACAGCTGAGGAGACAGATCCAGGGTGGGAAGGAAAGGCAGCACCTGGATCTGTCCCATGTTCCACACTCTGTGTCCCTGGGCATGTTCACCATTAACAGATTAACCCAGGCTGGGAACAGGCAGTGCCCCCAGTGCTGAGGCAGCTTCTCCTACTCCCAAACAATTCTCTTTTTAACTCTAAACACACTGGGGAACAAAGGCTGATTTTTGGGTTGTATTAACTGAAAGCAGCCAATGCTGGGATCTGTTCCCAGCTGGATTTGGTGCCACAGTGGCCTCGCCACAAGGAACCAGGAGGGGAATCCCAAATGAGAGAGCAGCTTTTTAAATCAACATCCAACCGCTGGATTTGGGAGTTGCTGGTTATCCCAGTGCTGTCCAGAGATCCCTCATCCCACTGCAAAGGGAACCACTGGATCAGTGACAGGAACCAAACTGTTGTTAACTGGAACAACCAGGATTAGTGTGGGAAATGAGGAATGTGCTTCCAGTGGCCACTCAGCCTTCCCAGTGCCACCCCTGAGGTTCCAGGGGGGATCCACGGACAGCCCAGGGCGGTTCCTGAGGGTGCTCCAGGGAAATTTGGGGTCACCATCACCACAGACAGCAGCAGGTTAAACCAGACACAGACCTGGTGCACCACAAAAGCCACTCCCACCTCAGAAGGTAATTTACATTTCTTTAAGCTTAATTTCAAGAATTTATGTTTCCTTGAACCAGATTTACGCTGTGAACGTGATGGTTATTTAAGAATGCAGATTTCTTTCCATCAACACCCAGTTTAAGAACCTGAAGTCTTTGAAGACTCCTAAGTTCACCAGGTGATGGTTTTGGTTCACCAGGTGCTGTGTTTTGTTCACCAGGTGATGTGTTTGGTTTGCCAGGTGATGTGTTTGGTTTGCCAGG